ATACTTTGAATTTACAGAGAAAGTAGAGAAAAACTCTGAAATGTAATATTATTCAATCCTCCGCTCTTAGTACAAATGAACAATATAAATAGGAACAACCAAAATTATAGTCGCTCTAAAAGCGGAAGCAAAATTCCTAAATATCCAAGTATCATCTTTTATGTATTCGTGTTTTACTTCTTCAGCTTAACTGTTTATGCGAAATTCTGAAGATGGCGAGGTGACAAACCGTCAAATTGTACATGGTATCTGAATGGTTCTTTGCTGAACTTTATATGTCGATTTTTATTTTGTACCCCGAAAAATTATTTTTCACATTACATCTTAAATATTATAATATTCATATCGTCTTTATTTTAATAAATTACATTTAAGGGCATATATGACACTTAAGAAATACATGGGGAAAGATTCATATAAATTATATAATAGTTGGAGACACCTGTTCTTGGTTTAATTAAGTCAGGTCATTTTTAATAATTTCAATTACCGCTAGTTGAAAATTGCAGTGCAACATAGCTCATTGCTTGGGTAGCATGGCTAGAATTGGGCAAATTCTATTTTACTCCCTTCTGGTTTGTGCCGGTAGCACTTTGCCCCCTTGTGGTTTAAAAATAAGCACATAGCTCCCATATAATTTTATACCAATTTACACAACTAACACTGTTAATAGGAAAGGTTAAATTACATTAATGCCCAACTGTCTTCTTCTCCCAATTATTTTCTCCTCCTCATCAATGGCACTGCTAACATCAAAACCTACTAATATTGATTGTACTGTAAAATAAAAGTCACATGAACCAATTACAATTAGAATAATAAAATTCACGCCCACTTTTTCCCCTTTACTAGTGAAGCCCCCCCTTGTATTAATTGGTTCTCAAGTTCACAGATCTGGATTTACAGTTCCAAAGTTCACACCACAACAAACAACCAATGTAGGAGACACCATTGCAATAAACCATAGTCACCTCTCAACGGAACCCCATTACAAATCATAGCAAAAATAGTGCATCAAAACATAGCAACCAACACAATGTCTTCTTTATTGTAAACAGAGCGACATTTCTTTAATTTGTTGCAAAATCCAAACAAAATTAGCACCGAAATTAATTTTGGATGTGATTTGAATTTTTTAGATTTAAAGTTTAATTCAGAATCAAAAGTGATTTCTATTTTAATTTCAAATTAGAATAAAAATTGATCAACTTGGCATGGTGGGTTGAGATAGCTTGTGGCTAAAAGTGGTTTTGGCATCATCATCCTGGGTGGAGGTCGTTGATGGTGGTGACGACTAATAGAAGGTGGCTTTGACAAGGTTGAAATTGGGCTTATTGGTGGAGTTGGTTGCCAGTACTGATGGTTTTGCCAGAAGAAAGAAGACCCTTGCTGGTGGATTGGGTTAGTAAAAAATCATAGTAATGATGGTGGATTTGGCCGGAAGAAATGAAGATGGTGACGGGGAAGGCATATGTGTTTCGACAAAAAGTTGAAGTAGATGGAGGAATATTTTGTCTTTTACATTAATTACGACTTTGATTGAAATTTTTGGCACACAACTCTGAAATTTGGTGCATGTACCACAATTTTCGTCAAGTTGAATGAAAATTGTAACAGTAGCAACTTGGTCCAAAACTACATGGGGGCTATGTGGCTATTTTTGAATCGCAAGAGGGCAAAGTGCTAAGGGAACAAACAAAAAGGGTATAAAATGAAATTTGCCCTTATAAATTTTCTATGGTTTCAGGGTCGATTTCAAACACCCAAAAAAAAAAAACACCAAAAACTTAAAACTTAAACCTCAAAAAGAAATAGTTTGAATTCTAAAAATTGTAATATCATCCCAAAAAAATTACAATTTTTTAGAATTAATCATTTTTTTACTTGTAATTACAAGCTTATATCGTAAACCACATAAGTGATGAAGCTAGGTACATTTCTTCTTCCGTTCCAAATTCAAATCCTCTACAATGAGGCAAGCAATGACAACATCTTCATAGAAGTTTCTCGGAAAGGTCTCCATGAAAAAAATTCTACAACCCTCTACCGCCATTATTTAAAACCCTTATAAATACTTTTATTTTTATTTTTTACCAAAATACTTGTTCTACCTTATTATGTTTCTCACTCAATTTCCACCTCTATCTCTCTGCCATTCTCCATCTACATGAAGTCTCAAGCAATATATACATACATGTGAAACAAAGAAAAAAACCATTTCTTTCCAATTATCTCTGCTTTCTTCCCTTCGAAAGGTGAAAGGAACTACTATAAATGCGATGAACAATCAAGAATCACTTCCCTTAGGTTTGGATGGTTTTTGTGCAAATAAATGGAAAAGGTCACGTCCAGACTTAGTCATATAAAACTTTGTACTCTTGGAAATAAAAACATAAGTGAGTGTTGGGGCACAGAATTAGGGTTTTATTTTGTTGGGCAAATCATCAGTGAAAACAATTACAAATTCATGTATTGAATCTATAACTTTTAGCATGAGAAATATAGCAAGAGCAAAAACTAAATCACTATATTACAAATAATACTAATATCAAATGTTTACAATCAATGAGTCCATGACGTAGAGTACGACCTTTGTTTAAATCTCAAAAATCATACATAAGTAATTATATGTTATTTACTAAGGAGGTTTTTAAATGCTTACAGTTAAAGAGTCCATGCAAAATCATCCTTCATTTTATTTCGAAATCTAATTGAGATTATTATTCATTTTGTTGAGAAATTAATTTTTCAAAAAGACATTTTACAATTTGCATGTAATCTTATATCACTTGGTTATGAGCCCCCAACTTGCTGAAAAAGAATCAAGGATAGCTATATAATTTTATAAAAAATAAATATGTAGCAATATACTAAATAAAAAAGTGATGTTATTTGTAAGGGCAAAATCTATTTTTACTTTATGTCACTTTAGTCCTCAATTGTGTTAATTTGGTCTCTCAATTTTTTAATTTGTATCATGTTTATCCACTTAAAAATACCAATTTACGTTGACTAATAGAGATATTCACATGTGCGTCAATGACTAAACTTAAGGAGTCTTCTTCCCTCAACGTTACAATATGTGTCATTTTGATCATCCACGTGTATAAATTTGTATTCTTTTATTCTCTACGGTTCTAAAAAATGCTTCTCAATTGCGGACACGTTAGATAGACATAACCATCTCCATTAGCTAATTTAACCTCCTATCTTTTTTTAACCAAAGTGATACAAATTAAATACTTAAAGAACCAATTGCATTTAACATTTGATCCCTGACTTAAATGGTAATTTTTTGTGCTGATTTATATTGCATTTTCAAAGAAGTCAGCAAAAAGAAATTGATGTTTAATGACGTCGGTCATAGACTTTTACCACTTGGCTTCTGGACTCATCCCTTTCACTTGGATCATAAATATATTCTTTCAATTGGCTTATCACAAATTCTTTCTATATTTCTTCAATTGGAGGTAAAATAATATTGTATGACCAAGTCTTTGCCAATGTATTTGAATTCGTGAGGGAGGCTAGCACTAGCTTTCGGTATCAACTATTAGAGTTTTCAAATAATGCAAATGTAGTAGAGGAAAAAATTGATACAAAGAATGTAAGAGAAGTCTCAAAGAGGTCACAACATGACCCAAAAGATTTGAGCCATGCTTTTGAAAATATTAATGTTAGATAAATTTATTTATACTACTAATAAAAGTGGTTTAAGTGAATTTTTTTTGATTTTTTGATTTATCCTTTAATAATTCTATAATGTCTACTTTATTCTTTTTAAAATGGCTTAAGAAAAAAAACTATTAATTTTTTTATATCCTTCAAAAATTCTATAAAGTCTACTTTATCCCTTTTTGAAGAATTTTTTATTTTTTTATTAGTTGCATTAATTCAACTAATAAATTCATTATTTGACATTTGATTACATTCTTTCCCACTAATACAAATTTGATCTAAATCCGATTTGAACAATGTGATCCGAATCCAATTTAATTGTCCAACATATTTTATTTTTCACAGTGCATATGTGAGTCTGTTAAAATAGATATCTATTCTGATTCGAATAAGTTGATTAGAGATGATTTTAACATTTAACACATAAATTTTTACTTAATTTTATTAAATAATCACCAAATTACATCATATATTTGTAGGTACGTAATGTTTATCCAAATACGTTAAAAATAAATAATTGAATAGATCTAATAATCTATATACTAATTTTAAATGTCAATACTTGTCAAAACAAAAACTTAATTGATAATATTATTCTTAAAAAGATAAAAAGACAATAATAATCAATTGTAGTAACTTCTTAGTAGTCTAATAAATCAGTAGTCATTCCTCTATTAATCACAAACTAAAGTTAAACATAACAGTTTATAAATGCAATGCAATGCAATTAAATTTTTTTTTTGAACCTTATGCAATTTAGTTCATACAATCCAAAATACGAGAAAAATCTTGAGTATAATAATTGTCCCATGTCAGTAATGTCACTTTGTGTAACCGTTTTTTAACAAGGGAACAAGTGGTATATAACTATCATGTAATATATAACCATCTTCATATAAAGAAAATTAGTTCAATTTATCTATTTTTTTTAACAAAAAGTCAAAATAGTTAGCGTGCAACGCACGGTGCACCAACTAGTGTATACAAATGATAGAGTTTGGGAGGAATACCCAAAAAAAAAAAAAAAAACATACTTAGAAAGAGTTTTTTTTTTTTTCTTCTTTTTTGTTGATAACAACACAAAATTTAAGGGTTTTAAGATTATTACTTGATTCTCTGAAGATTTCATGAATTCGCCACTGACACGACTCGATTTGTAGGTCGATTTTTGAGTTTCTTTATACTTTTGTGAGTATTTTTTTCTTTGTTATTGGTACATTGTTGTAAAATCATAATAGTTGATTATCCATTGTTATAGTGATTGACAATATATATCAAAAAAATCAGTTATAGCATTCAGATCGTCTCATTCGTCTTTTGGAATGAGGGTGACAATTGCCTTGAGAGAGAAGGGTATAGAGTTTGAGTGGAGAGAAGAGGACTTGAGCAATAAGAGCCCCCTGCTACTGAAGATGAACCCTGTTAAGAAGCAAATCCCAGTTTTGATCCATAATGGGAAGCCAGTTTGTGAGTCACTCATCATTGTTCAGTACATTGATGAGATCTGGAAGGACAGGACTTCTCTGTTGCCTTCTGATCCTTATGAGCGAGGTCATGCAAGGTTTTGGGCTGACTATGTTGATAAGAAGGTGAGTTTTCTTCCATTTGTTAATGTATGTATATAAAGGTGTTAATCGAGATTAACTTGTCAAGTTGAGCTAGAGTATACTTAGACTTGACTTCGATTACGAGTAGCTGAGCGAGCCCAGTTTGATTGTTGAGTTTAGATTCTTGCTCATATCCAAAATAGCCCAACAACATCAAGTGTATATAAAAGTACACACGTGTCTGCACATGTAGCCATGAGTTGGACTCACACATATGTGTAATATTATGCAGATATATAGCCCTGCATTGCAGGTGTGCACTACTAACGGTGAAACCAAAGAAGCTGCAAAGAAAGAACTCATACAATGGTTCAAGACACTGGAAGGAGAGCTTGGAGACAAGGCTTACTTTGGAGGCAAGACCTTTGGCTTGGTGGACATAGCTCTTATCCCCTTCTACTGCTGGTTCCATTCCTTGGAGACCATTGGCAACTTGAACATGGAGGCAGGGTTCCCTAAACTTGTGGCATGGGGTAAGAGATGCTTGGAAAAGGAGAGTGTGTCACAGACCCTACCTGACCAGCTCAAGGTCTATGACTTCATCTTGGGTATCAGGAAAAATCTTGGGATTGAGTAGAAATCCAAGAAGATGGTGGTTTTGTTTCTTCTTTTTCTCGTTTTTCTTTCAGACAACATATGTAGCCGACCCCAATTAGTTGGGAGGAAGGCGGGGGTGTTCTTTTGTTACAATAATGTACACCTAGTAGTGAACTTTTTTGTTTTAATAAAATTCTGGTGTGTTCCTTAGTCTAGTGAGTTCTATCAAATATTAAAATTTAGTTTTAATTTAATGGTTACAATAAAATTGTATCATTAGGTCAACAAATTAAGTCAAACTATTGAAAAATAGAAAAATTACTGTTCAAACATCATCTGAATAATAAGGTTTTTTAGAACTTAGAGGGCCATTGCCCTCTAAGCCACAACATAGTTTCGTCCATTACTGCATCGATTTCAAGGGATTAGAAGGAAATCAAAGAAAGTCTTGGAACTTTAATTTTTCGATGAATAACATTAGAAATTTAATCCGGGTGGTTTTGTATGCCCTTCAAACCAACCAAAGTTCTCTCATGACCTATATTAATACATCATGTTATTCTCTTCTTTGTATCAAAAATTAGTTTTATATTAGGTGTTCGGTAAGTTTGTGAGGGTGGGCCTTCACGCAGTAGTAAGATTTTTTATTTGTAATCTGGGTGTCAAGAATTCAAATCGCAGAAACAATCTCTCCACATATGTTTCAAGCACAATCTGAGAAATTTAGAAAATAAACAAAAAATAAAATAGGAGAAAAAAACCCACTTCGAGGGGGTGGAAACCTCTAATGACTTAATTCGAGGAGAATCAAATTTTCAAAATTTTCACAAGAAAAATCAATATAATATTCAACACATTTATTTGATTGATAGAAAGACTTTTAAATACAAGATAATAAAATTACTTTAATAACTAATCTAATCCATGACTCCCACTATATTAGTAATTATTTAGGAAACTATCGATAAAATATTTTATCATTAACTCACTCACTAAAATGTCTTAGTTCATAACTATTTTTCATATTACATAAAAATATATTAAATACATGTACATAATAGCATACGTGGAGTGACCTCCAAAGACTCTGCAATCGCAGGAGCTTTGTAAATTGGACCATCACAAGTACTAGAGCATCTTATTATTTCACGTTAATGCCAACAAAAATCGATATTATGTCAGTATTATTGTTTCTGAGTTCAAATCCTTACTATCTTAAAATAAACATAATGATTACCTAGGCAGTGACGCTTTAAACATTTTACTGCTGTGTACACTCAAATTTAGATTTGCAGGCGAAGATGGAATAACCATAAAGGTACCTACCTACCTTCGTACAATTACATGGGCAGTGACCTCCCTCGATGCTCCATCCATGGTTAAGATATAACATAAATACCTGGATCACTTTCAAGTTTACGTTCATCTACGTTTCTCCACTGCTGCTTTTTACTTCAACACTTTTGAGCTTGTACAATAATAATGGCGGGTGAAATAGTTTTTTTTTTTTTTTCCAACGTTCAAGAGTGTTTAGGTCTGCTTACACTCACTTCAATTAATTCTTTTTGTGGTCTGGTCAAAGACTGTTCATCTACGCTTCTCCACCGCTACTTTTTACTTCAACACTTTTGAGCTTGTACAATAATAATGGCGGGTGAAATAGTTTTTTTTTTTTTTTCCAACGTTCAAGAGTGTTTAGGTCTGCTTACACGCACTTCAATTAATTCTTTTTGTGATCTGATCAAATGCTGATTATCTGGACTAGAGTATTCATGAAGGATAAATCTTTTATAAACTGGCCCCAAAAGACTGTCAATATTTAAACTTAAAACGTCTAATTTTTGCAATTTTTTTATCATTGTGGGCAAGCCATTTTGGGGACAAGGTCAAGATCGCCTTGGCTGAGAAGTGTATTTCCTATGATTATAAAGAAGAGGATTTGTTCAAGAAAAGCCACTTGCTCTTGTCACTCAAGACTCAACCCAGTTCATAACAAAGTACCTGCTCTCATTTACAACGGTAAATCAATCTGTTGAGTCTCTAACGATTGTTCAGTACATTGATGAGATTTGGAATGGTGAATCTCCTCTGTTGCCCTCTCAACCTTACCAGAGAGAGCACATGCTAGATTCTGGGCTGACTATTTCCCATGTTGCCATTTTCCTTTTAACTTCATTATTCTTGGGTGTCGGATCATTTCATCAGATTCGAATTTGAATGTAATCACTTTATGTTAATATTTATTGTGATATACATCGGTAGATCACTATTAAATAAATTGTCTACTATTATAAGTTTAAATAATAAGAAAAACGAGAAGCTCCAAAGAGAGGGACATAAGAAATCAATCTTTGTCTTTAGCAAGGATTAATCCATTGGCCTATTGAAGTTAAGAGAATAAAAGGTGGAAAACTTAGTTAGGCTGAGTGATCTACTTCTGATTTATATTTAATTAGGCAAAAGATTATTATGGTATTATTGAGGATCTAACTCCATAATCACCTTTTTGCCCCCCTTCCTGGCATCCATTTGTATTTGGTCCTGAATTGGATTGCTGAAAAACTTAACGTCTATGTGACATGTAGGTGGGGCTAATTTTGTTGGAAATGTGTGGTTTGGTGCAGATTTATGACCTTTGCAAGAAAATATGCAGAACCAAAGGAGAAAACCAAGAGACTGCCAAAAAAGAACTCATAGAGGTTTTGAAGTTGCTGGAAGGAGAGCTTGGAGACAAGCCTTACTTTGGGGGTGAAAATTTTGGGTATCTTGACATTGTTCTTATTCCATTTTAAAGCAGATTTTACACATTGGAAACATTTGGAAATTTCAGCATAGAAGCCAAGTTCCCTAAGCTGACGGGATGGGCTAAAATGTGCCAGAAGAGGCAAATTGCTCTGATACCATCCCTAAGTTGATTGATGACGAACAAAAGCCCACTTCTTCTCACGATAAACCCAATTCACAAAAAAATTTCCAGTTCTCATCCATGATGGAAAACCAGTATGCGAGTCTCTCATCATTGTTCAGTACATAGACGAGGTTTGGAAGAACAGGTCCCCATTGTTGCCCTCTGATCCTTATAAGAGAGGTATACACTTTTGGACCATAATGGATTAGTGTAGAAAAGGCTATTAAAAAATCCTCGCAATGGGGTCAGACTTAACTTGGTTTTGGCTCTCTCATTTAGATAATAAATGGTTCTAACAATATTGTTTTGTCAATGAATCGAATCTAAGCAAAGTTTGAATCTTCTCGAAAAGACTCATTTTGGCTAGAATATACTTTGTTTATAACTAAACAAAGAATCCTATTTGAAAGATGAACAAGCTCAAACCTATCTCTAAATAATTCTTCTATGTCCGTCTCTTTCTCTAACACATTTTTGAGAAATTTGAAATTCTAGCCTTTGACTTGATTATTTTAAGATTGATTATTAAGTTTAGGCAATAATTTTGAATTTTTTTGTTGGAAATTGACTTCACTTTGGCTCAAGTACTTGCAAGTTTCTACTGTCGAACTTGAGCCAGAATCTAAACTCGACAGTCAAGCTCAACTAAGTTACAATCTATTTGAGTTTGAGCATACTAAAGCTCAACAAGTTAGGCTCATTTAAAAACCAAGTTGTAGACGCTCTAAACTACAATGTGTTATGCCAATTGAACTGCAGATTTCTGATGCTGGGAAGAACACATGTTTCACAAAAGGAGAAGAACAGGAAGCAGCAAAGAAAGAATTCATTGAATGCCTCATGGTGTTGGAAGCTGAGCTTGGCGACAAGCCATATTTTGGGGGTGAGACCTTCAGGTTTGTCAACATCGCCCCCATTCCCTTCTACAGTTGGTTTTATGCTTTTGAGACCTGTGGCAATTTCGGCATAAAGGAGGAGTGCCCCAAATTGATTGCATGGGCTAAAAGGTGCATGGAGAGATAGAGCGTCTCCAGATCTCTTCCTGATCCTTACAAGGTTTATGACTTTGTTCTTACAATGAAGAAGAGATTTGGAGTGGAGTAGGAAGTTTGTGTGTCATTTTTGTGATTTATCTGTTGAGATACATAATATCTTGCCATAGACTCTGATTCTTAAGACTCTGCCACCAACTTTAACCACCAGAACTGGCCACAATAATTATTTCACAAAATATTACACCACCACTATTACTATTTAAAACAATGTTGCTTGGATTTAATTTTGAGACCTAATTAAAATTTTAATGCAACCAGTTGCATTTTGGCCGTACGGGTGTATGCTGCAAGTATTTTAATAAATATCGAAAAACAGGGGAAGTGGTCCATGTTCATGCTTCCATTGCACAAAAGAGCAAGAGATGTTGGCTTGGAACTTTGTGATTTGATTAAGTTAAGAGCCTTTCATCATGTTAATGAAAGGGCAAATAAGAAAGATGGAATCTTGAAGAAATATGCAAAGAAATGTTTTTAGTGTCTCTGTTGAAGAAATGCAAAATTACCTATGTTATGGTAATTTTGCATGATTTCTGAATTTTTTTTTTCCAGACTTGCAAGGCTGAGTGATTCTCATCTAATTGGCAACATAGTGTTCCAATGGCGCATCTTATAGACTCATATGACTAAAAACACAAAAATCTTTCCTTGGCAACTACAACACAAACCTCAAATACTTGCAATCGCGATATCTTTTCATTTTTCAAGTTCTTAACATAATATTAACTGCAGAAAAAACAGAAGATTTTCTTCTCACATAGATTCCATATAGTTCGGCCACTACTAATCACAATGCATAACTCACTATACTATTTAAATTAATACACAAACAGCCTTGTCAATGATTGTTAATACTTGGCAGAAATCAAGGGTCTTTCTTTATTGCAGTACTCATCACCAACGGACACACCCAAGTGTCTTTTATACTAAAATGAACACCCAAACAAAATGCTAAAGCTCACAGAGGAAAACAACACAAGTTCAAGCAGAAACAGAGTTATATGTATCCCTTACTCTAGTCCAAGATTCTTTTTCATCCCCAGAACGAAGTCATTGACCTTGTGAGGATCAACAAGAGACTTGGACAGCCTCTCCTTCTCCATGCACTTTTTGGCACATGCAATCAACTTGGGGCACTCAGCCTCTATGCTGAAATTGCCAAACGTCTCGTACACATAAAACCAGCAGTAAAATCCAATAAGAGATATGTCTGTCAATCCAAAGGTTTTACCCCCAAAGTAAGGCCTGTCACCAAGCTCTCCCTCCAGCACCCTAAGGATTTCTGTGAATTCCTTCTTGGCTTCTTCTTGCTTTTCACCTTTTGTAGCCCACACATTCCTCCCAACATCATACGTCTGCATTGCATGGTACCACAGCGTGCCCTATCAAATTTATGAGGTTTTTTAGCAATCCAAACTCATCATCATTATGCAAGTTTTATCCCCAACATCTAAGCTCCAAGTCCAATTGAATCCAATACACGTTCTCCAAGTTTCACTCAATGGTAAGTCAACCATCATCATGTATATAGGGCGGGGTAAGACCCATTTGTAAATAGTGATCATACTGGAATTCTTGGTAGATGGTCCATTTGAGTGAAATTGCATAAATTCTCCACATTTATATGACAAGTTTTCATTTTCTTGAATATTTTCATTAATAAAAAGATTAATTCTAGAAAATCTTCAATATTTAGATGAAGATCAATTCAATCTGAAGAAAAAGTGAAGAAATAATGGTATATAATTACGTGGCAAATAAATTAGTACAATGAACAAAGATCAAATAAGAAGACACCATAATACAAAAGTAAGATTTAAGAGTGAACCCATATCATATTTTATTTTATGAGAAATGCTCAATGCCCAACACTTCGAGTTTATGACATTCAGGGTGTAATGTGGGAAAAATAATAAGTTGGAGTGCAAATTAGGAATTGAGACATCTTTTGGGATGCAAAGTGCAAAAAACCTTTTTTATTTCTTATTGAAAAAGTGTCTTTGGTAGAAGTAGGAGAAGTTTCGGAGTCTCGGGGATGATAGGACGAGACGTTGAACAAATTGAAACATCTCCCAGACGCTTATCTCGCTTACATTGGTCTTAAAGCTGGTTACCCACACAGTAAGTGTGCTAATGTTTTTTAAAACTTTATTCTTGTCTTTGGGAGGAATATCCAAAAAAAAAAAAATACTTGGAAAGAGGGTTTTTTTTTCCTTTTTTGTTGTTAACACCACAAATTTTGATTTTCTTTAGTCAGTATTCAGATCGTCTTTATTTTAATAAATTACATTTAAGGGTATATATGGTACTTATAAAATACATGGGGGAAGACTCATATAATTGTTGGAGATACCTGTTCTGGGTTTAGTCAAGTCAGGTCATTTTTAATAATTTCAATTACCGCTAGTTGAAAATTGCAGTGCAACATAGCTCATTGCTTAGGTAGCATGGCTAGAATTGGGTAAATTCTATTTTACTCCCTTCTGGTTTGTCCCGGTAGCACTTTGCCCCCTTGTGGTTTAAAAAATAAGCACATAGCCCCCATATAATTTTAGACCAATTTACACAACTAACACTGCTAATAGGAAAGGTTAAATTACATTAATACCCAACTGTCTTCTTCTCCCAATTATCTTCTCCTCCTCATCAATGGCACTGCTAACATCAAAACCTACTAATTTTGATTGAACTGTAAAATAAAAGTCACATGAACCAATTACAATTAGAATAATAAAATTCAAGCCCACTTTTTCCCCTTTACTAGTGAAGCCCCCTTGTATCAATTGGTTCTCAAGTTCACGGATCTGGATTTAGAGTTCCAAAGTTCACACCACAACAAACACCCAATGTAGGAGACACCACTGTAATATACTATTGTCACCTCTCAACGGAACCATGTTACAAATCATAGCAAAATTTGTGCAACAAATCATGGCAACCAATACAGTCTCTTCATTGTTGCAAACAGAGCAACATCTCTTTAATTTGTTACAAAATTCAAATAAAATCAAAATTGAAATTAATTTTGGTTTTTTATTTTTGGATGTGATTTGGATTTCAATTTTTAGATATTGAGTTCAACTTAGAATCAAAAATGATTTCAATTTCAAGTTCAAATTGGAATTAAAAGTGATCAATTTGGCATGGTGGGTTGAGGTAGCTAGTGGTTGAAAGTAGTTTTAGCATCGTCATCGTGGCTGGAGGTTGCCAATGGTGGCGGCGGCTAACCGAAAGTGACTTTGACGAGGTTGAAATTGGGCTTATGGGTGGAGTTGGTTACCAGTGCCGGTGGTTTTTCAGGAAGAAAGAAGACCCTTGGTAGTGGTTTGGGTTAGGCTGAAAAAGTACAAAGTCATTAGTAATGGTGGTGGGTTTGGCAGGACGAAATGAAGTTGGTGATGGAGAAGGTATAGGTGTTTCGACAGCAGTTTGAAGAAGATGGAGGGATTTTTCGTCTTTTTACATTAATTATTGATTTTGACTGAAATTTTTGGCACACCACTCTGAAATTTGGCGCGTGTACCACAATTTTCGTCAAGTTGAATGGACCACAAGAGGGCAAAGTTCTATGGGAACAAACCAAAGGGGTATAAAATGGAATTTGCCCTAATAAATTTTTGATGGTTTTAGGATCAATTTCAAACACCCAAAACTTAAAACTTAAACTTAAACCTCGAAAAGATATAATTTGAATTCTAAAAGTTGTAATACCATTCCAAAAAATTACAATTTTTTAGAATTAATCATTTTTTTTACTTGTAATTATACAATAAAAGCTTATATCATAAACCACATAAGTGATAAAGTTAGGAACTTTTCTTCTTCGGTACCAAAGTCAAAATCCTCAACAATGAGGCAAGCAATGACAATATCAACATATAAGTTTCTTGAAAAGGTCCCCATGAAAAAAATTCTACAACCCTCTGCCACCATTAAAACCCTTATAAATACCACACCCAACTCCATTTGGTTTCAGTTAATTCTTTCTTTTCAATCTTAAAGCTTTTCCCAGTTATAACAATGGCGGATGAAGTGATTCTCTTGGACGTTTGGGCAAGCCCTTTTGGAATGAGGGTGAGAATTGCCTTGAGAGAGAAGGGTATAAAGTTTGACTGGAGAGCAGAGGACTTGAGCAATAAGAGCCCCCTGCTACTGAAGATGAACCCTGTTACGAAGCAAATCCCAGTTTTGATCCATAATGGGAAGCCAGTTTGTGAGTCACTCATCATTGTTCAGTACATTGATGAGGTCTGGAAGGACAGGACTCCTCTGTTGCCTTCTGATCCTTATGAGCGAGCTCATGCAAGGTTTTGGGGTGACTATGTTGATAAGAAGGTGAGTTTTCTTCCATTTGTTAATGTATATAGGTAAGGGTGTTAATCGAGATTAACTTGTCGAGTTGAGCTTGAGTATACTTAGACATGACTTCTATTATGAGTAGCTGAGCTCGAGGTCGAGCCCAGTTTGATTGTTGAGTTTAGATTCTTGTTCATAGCCCAACAACATCAAGTGTATATAAAAGTACACACGTGTCTGCACATGTAGCCATGAGTTGGACTCACACATATGTGGAATATTATGCAGATATATAGCACTGCAAGGCAGGTGTGCACTACTAAGGGAGAACCCAAAGAAGCTGCAAAGAAAGAACTCATACAATGCTTCAAGACACTGGAAGGAGAGCTTGGAGACAAGGCTTACTTTGGAGGCAAGACCTTTGGCTTGGTGGACATAGCTCTTATCCCCTTCTACGGCTGGTTTCATTCCTTGGAGACCATTGGCAACTTGAACATGGAGGCAGAGTTCCCTAAACTTGTGGCATGGGGTAAGAGATGCTTGGAAAAGGAGAGTGTGTCACAGACCCTACCTGACCAGCTCAAGGTCCATGACTTCCTCTTGGGTATCAGAAAGAAGCTTGGGATTGAGTAAAAATCCAAGAAGATGGTGGTTTTGTTTCCTCTTTTTCTCGTTTTTCTTTCGGACAACATATGTAGCCGATCCCAATTAGTTGGGATGAAGGCAGGGGTGTTCTTTTGTTACAAATAATGTTCACCTGGTACTGAACTTTTTGTTTTAATAAAATTCTTGTCTGGCCTTATATATCTTGACGGTGTATTTCAACGTGAATGAGCTTAAGGTGTAGATAACATAAGATGAGCGTGGATCCGAGCTTCGAGGCTTGTGTATGATGCTACAATAAAATATTGAGGGGATTAAAGGGATGAACACAGTAAAAATATAGTGGTTCACCAGCTCAGGAGTTCAGCTAATCCACTCTTCAATAGAGATTCTTGTTCCTTCCTTCACTATTTATTATATCAAAAGATTTACAAACTGTAAGATGTGATCCTAGGGTCTCGCCTCTCTATTGGGGGCGTTACATAGTATTTATAGAGTTTTTCCTAATTCTACGGGATCCGCCCCGAGATCTTCGTCATTTATCCGAAGAATCCTCCTTGATCTTAGGGGGTGATCTTTCCTGAATGAGAGTTTTATGCTTTGATTATGACTATTTACTGCCTTTAGGGTTTTTGTTGATAAATAATTATCTCTTTATTACTTCCGCTGTAGCTTCGATTGGGCTGGGCTTTACTCTGATTTTATGAGCTCTGTGCGTCTGACCTCCGCTCCCGAGCTCATACTTGAAAATTGCTCTAAGTATCATCATATCTAATATAATAGATTGTAATTTGGCATCTGTGGGCATGATGTTTATCGTTTTTTTAAAGTAATTTTTCTCTATTCCAATTATAGTTGTAAGTTCACTCAAAAAAAAAAAAAAGAAAGAAACCATAGTTGGGGGTCCATATTTCCCTACCCATCCCATTACGCCCAGCGATAGAACTAAATAGCTTGCACTATCGGAGGTCCAACATTTGTACTCCATTGAGGAGGAGAAAAATTATTGTTCAAACAGCGGCCGAATAATGAGGTTTTTAAAACTTAAGAGGGCCATTGGCCTTTAAGCCCCAACAAAGTTTCGTCCAGTATTGCGAATTAGTACAAAATCAGAGAAATTTTTGGAACTTCAATTTTTCAATGAATATCATTACAGCTTTAATCTGGGTAGTTTTGTATGGCCTTCAAACCAACCAAAGTTCTCTCATGAACTATATTATTTTTATTATTACACATCATGCCGTTCTCTTCTTTGTATCAAAAATTAGTTTATTAGCTTTGTATAAAGTTTTTTTTTTTGTAATTAGACGTCAAGTATTCCAGTGGCGAAGATAATCTCTCCGCTTATGAGGGCTGGATCCAAAAAATCTACAATTGCAGGACCTTTGTAAGTTGGACTGTCACGAGCAAGTGCATGTGACCATCCTATTTTTTCAAGTTAATGTCAAAAATAACCAATATTATGTCAGTAATTTTGTACCGAGATTAAGTCTTGTTCAATATTACTGTCTCAAAATAAACATAATGCTTACCTAGGCAGTGACGTTTAGACTTTAGACATTTTACCACTGTGTACGGGAAGATTGAATAATCCTAACCATAACGGTACCTACCCATCTTCATACAATTACATAGGCAGTGACGTCCCTCCATCACTTTCAAGTTTCCATTCATCTACACTTCTCCACTGCAAAGTATTTTTTAGTTCAACGCTTCGAGCTTGTACAATAATAATGGCGGATGAGGTAGTTCTTTTTTTTCAATGGTCATGTGTGTGTTCGAGTCAGCTAATACGTATTTCGATTAATTTTCTCTTCGGTTCGGTCCAAGTTAGACCATTCATGCCTGGATTAGGATAGTCATGAAAGATAATCCCTGATAACTTGACATCAAAATATTATCAAAATTCAAATTTAAAACATATGAATTTACCGTTGTTTTATCATTCTGGTGAAGCCCCTTTGGGACAAGGGTCAAAATTGCCTTGGCTGAGATGGGCATTTGTTTCCTATGATTATAAAGAAGAGGACTTGTTCAACAAAATCACCTTGCTCTTGTCACTCAACCCAGTTCATAAAACACGTACCTGTTCTCATTCACAATGGTAAATCAATCTGTGAGTCTCTAACGATTTTGTTTAATACATTGATGAGGTTTGGAATGGTGAATCTCCTCTGATACCCTCTAATCCTTACCGGAGAGCACATGCTAGATTCTGGGATGACTTCATTGACAAAAAAAGGTTTGTTCCTTCCCATGTTTTCATTTTCCTTTTGGCTTTTTTTTTTCCTTGGAGTCGGGTCATTTCATGAGATTTGAATTTGAATGCAATCACTTAATGTTAGTATTTATTGTGATATACATTATAAGTTCGAATAACGCAAGGGCAGAAGAGTAGAAAGGACCAAAATAAGAAAAACGGTAAGTTCTAAAAAGAGGGACATAAGAAATCAATCATTGTCTTTGGTAAGAATTAATCCATTGGCCTATTGAAGTCAAGAGAATAAAGGTGGAGAACTAAATTAGGCCGAGTGATCGACTCCTATTTCATATTTAATTAGGCGAAAGATTATTCTGGTATTATCGAGGACTAAACTCCATAATTACCATTTTGCGCCCTTCCTGCATCTATTTGTATTTGTTCCTGAATTGGATTGCTGAAAACCCAAAGTCTACGTGACATGTGGGTGGGGCTAATTTTGTTGGAAATGTGTTTGAGTGCTGGTTTATGACCTTTGCAAGAAAAGATGCAAAACCAAAAGATTTGAGGTTGCTGGAAGAAGAACTTGGACACAAGCCTTACTTTGGGGGGTGAAAATTTTGGGTATATTGACATTGCTCTGATACCATTTTACAGCAAATTTTACACATTGGAAACTTTTGGAAATTTCAGCATTGAAGCCGAGTGTCCTAAGCTGATGGGATGGGCAAAAAGGTGCCCTAAGAGGGAAAGTGTGTCCAATTCTCTTGAGGTCCTTGACTTTGTAGTGCAGCTTAATAATAGTTTAGGAATAAGTTGGCAGCAGTTTGTAGGAACGTTGCGATTGGTGAGTGAGAATGTTTTTATATAAAAATGGAATAGAATATATATTATTATTCCAATGTTTGATAACAACAAAGATTAAATATTGAAATAGAATTAAAAATTCACTCAAATATTTAGATAATTCCTAAACTTGGATTGGACAAGACCCCGAACTCCGACCTGATCTTGGATCCATGACCCCAACCCCTCGACTCGACCCCGAACGAGTAATAGTAGTTGGGATTAGACATTCTATGTTAATAAGAATAAATTTTTATTAGTACATATCAAAGAGTGGAGTGAGTATTACTAAGAACAACTCCAAGGAGAGTGGTATCAAAGGTGGCATCCCATATGTCACCCTAAATTTAAAAATTTTCATTCTAAGTGAGGTGGTATCGAGGGTTGGAAAATAGCGTCAAGGCTTTTGGGGTGACATTTTTGGCAACTCTGGAGAAAAAATGAAGAGGTTGCAAATGAGTTGATGAATATAGATCCAATGATTCATATAGATTTAATAAGAATAAATTTTTATTAGTACATATCAAAGAGTGGAGTGAGTATTACTAAGAACAACTCCAAGGAGAGTGGTATCAAAGGTGGCATCCCCATATGTCACCCTAAATTTAAAAATTTTCATTCTAAGTGAGGTGATATCAAGGGTTGGAAAATAGCGCCAAGGCTTTTGGGGTGACATTTTTGACAACTCTGGAGAGAAAATGGAGAGGTTGCAAATGAGTTGATGAATATAGATTCAATGATTCATATAGATTGATGAATAAAAATATAAAAATGACACCCCATTTTGGCACTTACCATTGAAGCATATTTATAATTCAGGGATGTTAAAACACTGTTCAATGTTACAAATGAGTGATTTGACACCCCAAAATGACAACTCCCTTTAGAGTTACTCTAAGTAATAATCATTTCATTCTCCCATTTCATTACCATTTACCAAATGTAGCGTTAGTTATTTTTGGGATTGAGAGCCGATTAGTAATGTTGCTCTATTATAATATAAGCATTAAGAGTTTGAGTCGTAGAAATAACCTTTTTGTTGGAAGAGTAAAGCTGTGTGCATTAGATTTTTTCTAAATTTCATATAAACGGATTCTCATGTAATGGGCTGTCATTTTTTTTCTAGTTAGTTTTGAGTAGGGGTGTTTACTCTACCTTACAGGTAAGAAATATGTTCTTCCGTCTTCCTACCCGATACTTTGAGAAAGAGTTTTTTCTTGGCCTATCCTACCTGACTTCCTACCCGATTAATCGGGTAGGAAGTCGGGTAAATATTTTTGTAACAATTAATTTTTGAATCATTTTAACAATTTAATTCAATAACAAGCATCAATTTAACAACACAATAAATCAATTAACACTAAAATCTAAAATAACTACAACAAGAATTATAATAAAACACAAAAAAGTATGAACATCAATCCACCATAATTATTACACAAATACAACAACAATTAATTTAAATTTAAACTTTAAATCATATAAAATACATTAAAATTATAATTAGTCTGCTAGAGTTTAGGATTTTTTTTAGTTTATATATATATATATTAAAATTATTGCGGATAGGGTAGGGTAAGAATACGAAAATGGATGACTATTCCGCATTCCTACCCGAAAATTATTGAAAGACCGAAAATTCTTTCGTATTTCTACCCGATTTTTGCGACTAGCTGTTCAATAAAGTAAGATAGGATCGGATAGGATAAGAACTTGCGACCGATTAAAAATTTGAACACCCCTAATGTCGAGATAGGCCAACGATGTGTACTTTCACATTCTACTTTTCTTTTCCTACATCCATGCAATTTATACACTACTGATTTGTGACATCTCCCTAGAAAAGTAGCCGAACTCATCCTCATTGACTCTTGCTCCAAAAAAATACCAAATAACACTAGGTGTCGTATTGCACTTGACTTCCACTTACTACAGTTCAGAGAGAGATAAGTGTCACTCCAATTCGAGTGCCACGATATATCAAATTAATGGAAAAATACTTGTCATCATCTCAAGTTCATACTTCAAAAATAATTAATGAATAAAACATAATCGCAAAAAATGGAACAAAAGGACAATAAACCATGACTTCGAGTGTATAATGTATTCAAGATGAAAGATCCAGATAGTGATTGTTCTACCCACAATTT